GAAATTGGGTAAATGCAGGAATTAAGCATACGTAATAGGCATTGGTGCCAAAAAATGAAAGTTTCAGCAGCTATTTAAAGGACTTAAAATTGAGTAAACTTTCTGATGTTTGGGCCATTGATAAAAAACATAATAACACATTTCTCACCCATGGACTCAAAATGCGTTTTAAACATTTAAATTTCGCGTGCAAGCTATTTTCAATGCTGCTAAAATTGTTTTGTTTGTTTTACATTATAAGTACCCAAACAATCGGATTTGTGAAATTGAGAGCCAAAAATTCTACACCTTGTATACAAATACCATAAACTTTGAATATAAACGTGTTATAGATAAACTACGTGAAGCGTTCCTCTTTTGAGTTCTTAACTCATTTGGAATTTTCATAATTACCTATTCAAGTTTGAAAAAACTCTTTGCAAATCCCTCGAGGGAATCTTGTGCAAATCCCTCGTGATTTCTCGGGTGGAACTAATTAGAAAAGACAAAGAGAAATTCCGCTCCGCGCGGAAAATTTCGCCTAGTTCCACCTAGTAGAAAACGGTCTTAACACATCTTTGAATAACAATTAATGTCGAATTATTTTCGTCTATGTACAGGTGAGCCACGATGAGCCATCACAGAAAGGAAATTCAGATGCTGGATTGGATGGTATTGCAGGAGCATTAGCGAGAGCTTTACAGGAGAGATCTAAAGCAATTCATTCTTCAGGTATGTTGATTGTAGAAACGAATAATAGAAAACCTTTGGGCGTTGATTCGCGTGATTCTCAAAGATATGTAATAACCATTTAAATTCTGTCCGACGAAAGCATGTTTATTTCTAAAAATCTCAAACATTGAATAAAAGATATTAACATAATTTATAACAACAGGCAGCTGTACAGGGTGTCTCAAAAAAACCCAAAATCATTGAAATTGACGTATTGTTCGATATTCAATGCCCTAGCACTAAGTTAATCCCACGAGTGCATAAAAGATTGACATAACTGCTATAATGAATGGTAAT